ATAACAACTTCTCTTTCAAATGGGAAACGAAGGCTACGTACTTAGGTGTCATTATGGATAAAACCCTGACATTTAAATATCATTTTAGGAACATTAGGAGTAAATTCATAGCTGCAAAATGTGCACTTTATCCTATTCTAAATAAGAACTCTCCCCTCAGCACTAATAAAAGGATTCTAATTTTTAAAATGCTTCTCATCCCCTTATTAACATATGCAGCACCCGCCTTCGGGGGGGGGGCTGCAAAGACAAATCTTAAACTCTTACAGAGTGCTTATAACAAAACCCTCCGCAATATCACAAATTCACCCTGGTATTTCAGGAATAAAAATATCCGTAATGACACCTGTACGCCTAGCCTTCTTGACTTATACAAAAATAGTTCTCTCAAGTATTTTCTTAAGAGCACTGGACACTTCAACCCCCTTATATGGTCTTCCTCTAACTACGACCCAGATGACCCTAAGTGCAGGAGACGGCCTAAGGCCATTCTCCATTACTATAATAATCTCCAAGACATCGTTTGATGATTTTTCTATCCCCCTGACTGGCTCCTCTATCATCATTACCCTTTTCCACCTTCTTGGGTTGGCCCAATACTTCGCGGAATTACTGCGGCTCATTCTGATTCAATTTACTAATACAACTACTAACAATGTTAATCACTAACTGCTTATTTTTCAATAATTATATATAAAATATAAATAATGATTTATAATAAATAATAAATTTTCATTTATTTATTTATTATTATTATTTTCTTTTTTTTAAATATATATGTTATTACCTGTCTGTGTTATCCCTGTTCTATTTTCTTTTCCTTAATTTTATTTAACTACTAACATTAAGTTGACTAACTCAAATAATTTTAATATCAATGGCCTTTTATTCAGTTTGTAATCATATAATTTACGGAGGTGGCCTTTTTGGCCAGGTACTCCGGTGCACCAATTATTAGTTTCCGCAGAAGAACCAATAGATAGCACAACTTTATGCGTCTAATAACCTTGCCGCTGGTCTATATGATCAGTGAGTAGGCGGGGCACAGATATGAATAATGCCTACTTTGAAAGCTTTTACTTTGATTTTACAAAGAACTAATAGGCTGCGATAGCCTGGTCGGTAGGGTGCAGGGCCATCACCTTCTACATCACAAAGCCTCCACACGGTCTTTTAGAAGTAGTCCGCGCAGACTGTTTAAAAAGTGAGCCAGTTGTGCGCATGATCCCAAAACCTTTTATAAAAGTAATTGCGAGAAATTTATTTTATACATTTGAGAATTGAATCTGTAGTGGTTGACAAGTGAATAAGGCAAATCAATAACATTCATAAGTAAAACAAATTTTTAGTCATATATTAGCTACCACTCTCTTATTTTAACTAGATGTTGTATTGAATGACTCGTTCGGAAATTGGACATCCTTCACAGTGGTCTGATCGGACTACCTGTAAAAAACCGTGTGGAGGCTTTCTGTTATAGGAGACGTTGGCTGGGCCCACGTCCGAGAGTTCGTGGGTTTGAACCCCGCCAGCCGAAAACTCCCCATGTAGTAAAGTGACTGTTGCGCGTTAAATCTGTCGAGTCGCAAAAGTCCTCCATGTTCCCATAACAAATCAAAACCTCGAGGGGTACTGGATTGATTGCACATCGATCGATCTCTGATTCAGGTCAAAATTACGTTCTGTGGATAAATGAATGGGTTCGCCCTATAAACGGGTGGGACGTATGGGGTGGCAGAAGTCGAATTCTTGGCTATAGGTGGCGCCACTGGAAAACACGAACAATCGCACCCCTCTGCCTAAAACAGGCATACGTCAACAACAACACAACAAAGAACTAATGAAGCGAAAAAGTAAACAAGAATTAAATAATAATAAGTTCTTCCATTTGCTTTCATGTCAAAACCACTAAGCGCTTACACCAGTCTGACTTGTAAGAAATTTCTAAATCTTCGAACAGATATCAAAGGTCGAGCATTTGCATTTACGAAGGATCGTAAGTGCGATTCCAATTGAGTGTAATAAGAAGTAGCGTTTAGGTAATAAACTCAACATTAAAAAAATCCTAATTGACACCGGTACTTTTTTCGGTGTTCAATATCACAACTTAAAAAATTTAAATCACGTAGATGTGCAGAAAATTTTCAGAAAGTAAGTTACTTGTAAAAAAAAATACGAATCTGGACACCTTACAATTCACAGAAACGCAACTAAGCAGTTGAAATTTGACGTTCTTAAAAAGCTATTTTAATTTATGAGCTTGATATAAATTTTTTCTAAGACTTCAATTTGTTGGAAAGAAATTGCTGACATCAGTGTTCTTTTTTCCGACAATTTTTAATACTTTTTTTTGCATTAAATAAAGTCCTCTTATCTAGTAATGAAAAAAATTTAATATATTTTTATTGGGATCTTTTGGTTCGGCAAATTTATCAAGGGAAAAAATTATATCATTAAATTTCGCCAAACAAATTAAAGTAAAAATTTGTTATAGATGAGAAAAGCGATCCCTTCTAACATTATTACTTTTTTCTGTATTTTCACAAGTGCACGTATTTGTTACATTTACTTATTTACAAGCAGTAGAACAATGGAAAATATTCAATGCTTTGGCCAGATCAGAAGACGCTCCTTATACTATTGCGCACTACCTATATAACTTTAGTGCTCTGCATTATACTAACGTAGCATGGAATAGCACCCCTTCTCAAGCATATCCCAGATATCTTGAACACATCTTCCTGCTGCAACCAATCAGGAAAAAAAATTACGCGTCTTCCATAGACGCATTTTTGTTGTAAATATGCATCACAAATAGGAATGCAGTTTATTTAGTGCCCTTGTAAAGTGCGGCTTTGAGGAGAACTCCTCCAGACTGAAAGTCTGAGACTGTCTGCTGCTATGGTAACAAGCGAGAGCACATTTCTAATAGGGGTGAAATGGAGGAAAGAAGGAGTCGAATGGTTTACTCACGACGACATACGCTAAGATTAAGACAAAACTATTCACCCCACACCCCTATTCGAAGTGACCTTTCCTCGTAGTATCATAGTAACCGCCACGAGGCGAGACGGGTGTCTGGAGGAGTTCTCCTGAAAGCCGCACTATACATTCTGTTTTATTTACAACTTTCTCTTGCAACCGTGGACACCATGTTATCGACCCGATTAAAATTTTGACTCCTTTAGGTACGCTTACTTTACCCTTTCAATTTTACCATGTTATTTTTAAAACATCGTGTATGTCTCTTACCTCGTTTTAATTTTTTTCATTACTCATTATGCTTAATTTTAGGCGAATAAATTTCTTTAAGAATTAGGAAGACATTGACGCTTTTCTAATGTCACCCTCCCCTTAAAATTAAGGAAGAAAGCAATCACAATAAAATGAAGAATGCTTCATTATACCGAGATAATACATATCCGGAGAATATCTGCATCAAACCTCTAAAGTACTGGTTTAAATTAGGGACCCTTCATAAATGATGTCACACTTGGAGGAGAGGAAGAGGGGAGGGTAGGTGAAATAGTAAAAGTTTGTGACAAAAGGAGGGGTAAGTGTAATATGAAGTGTAACACCCCACAGTATACGTAACAGAAAAAATTTGAAAATCAAGATATTTAGTATTTTATTTCATCAAAATGAGAAATCATATAATAATTATTATAACGCTGACGAATAATAATGCTATTAAAACGCAGAAATCAGAACTTAAAATATACTTTAATTTTGCGCTTTGTTCCTGAATTAAAAATATATGTTTACGGAATATTGCCTGATTTGTAACAATGGGGAAAAGTGTGACACTTTCTGACAAAATGGAGAAATGGATCAAAAATAATTTTTTAAAAAAAAATGTGACATTTTTTATGGATGGCTTCTTAGTTTTCACGTAAAATGTAAATTCCTGATTCAGCTGGAAATATGTTTCTTTCAATTTTATAAGCTGTTTTGAATATTTAATATTTTTTGCCAAACTCGTGTCTAAAATTAACTTAATTCAAGATAAATTCTTCATCATTTATAATCTTCTTTTCATTGCATGATGTTATCGTAAAATAATTGGTTTAATAAAATGGCTGAAAAATTGCAATTAATTGATTTTGACAATAAGTTTAATTTTTAAGGCATAGTGTTTATTGACCATGTTATTATATGGCTTATTACTTGGTTAAAAAATAAATGAAGTGCGGTATTTAAAAACTCAAATACGATATTACTATTAATTAAATTTTATATTTTTTCCAGCATAATTTATTTCAATGACATTATTTTATCATTTTTCTTATAAAATTCTTGATTGCGTGTTACTGCAACTTAACGGATTTTAATGAGATATTTTAAAAAGTGCTGTTACAGTGCTAGCAAAAGAATTTTTACAAGATAAATACAGTTACAAGAGAGTTTTTTTCTTTTCGTACCATGAATTAAATTATACTGCTGTTTATTACAGTATAAAAATTTTGAAACACCCTAAAATTTTGAATTAAAATGTTGAGGCAGTATTTAAGACTCAAGAGGAAAAAAAAACTTTAATTTATAATTCTAAGAACAAGTTTTTTGTATTAAATATTTTTAGCGATTTTTTTTCTTATAAATTTCGGTGACAAATACAATTTAGAATAAATGTTTTAAAAAGTATGTAGTACAAGAACAGTGAAAAGAGCTGCATTTGGGAAGTTTTTCTTTCCGGTACTATATAAATTTAAAGTTGAAAACAACAATGAATTCTATTATCAAAAAACTTGAACACATCTTGTAGCGGTATATAGAAAGGTAATAAAGTTATAACAATACCATTTAGAAATGCATTTCAACAATGGAGGTCAAATAATAAAAATATTTCGTTTTACAAATCTTAAGATTTCGTGCATTTGCAACAATGAAATTCTCTTATTATTGTAATTTATTCTATCTTGATCATTTGAGCTGTTTGGTGTCAAAAGCTGTGAAGTCAAATAAATTTAGAAAAAGTGTATTTATTTAATATAACATTTAAAATGTCGAAAGGTGTGAAAAAAACATCAAATGATAAACTCGCTGAACGCATTGAGAAGGCAGTTGAAATATTGCAAAAGGAGAAAAAATATACTTGCCTTGGCCATATTGGATCAGGCTCATTTGGACAAGTGTTCAGAATGATAGAGCCCTTGAACAAATCTGAGCTGGCAGTAAAGATTGTGCCCTACGAGATGGTGTCAAAAGCCGAGTCGGAACTGTGGGAAAATCTGAGTCATCCCAACTTAGTCCCCTTGATAGGCGTGCACAAATTGAAGATACAAAAAACTTTTGTCTTCTTGATGCCAGTTTATCCAACCACATTGTTTGACTCCATTCAAGACTTGACTCCATGCAAGGGAGCTTACAATATCGTAAAGTCTTGGCTGAAAGACGTGCTCCAAGGATTGGACTATCTTCATTGTAATGGAGCTTGCCATCTGGATCTTAAACCGGACAATGTTCTCATATCAGATCAAAATTCTGCACTCTTGTGCGATTTTACATTTTTAAGGGATTGTAAAACACCTCTCTATAAGTATGTATTTAAAAAAAAAATTTTTAGTTATTATTTCATAAATGAAAGGCGTTTTATTTATTGAATTTATTAAAATGCGTTTTATTTATTAACCAAAAACAACTTTTTTGTTGCAGACATGATATTGGCTTGCCAAGTATATACCGACCCCCTGAAGTTCTCCTGTCTAAAGAGAGAAAATACCTTGATGGAACCAGCATAGATATGTGGGCGTTCGGTTGCCTGTTGATGGAACTACTTAGTTGTTTCACATTAACAAATGCATGTATGGACGGGAGGGAACAAATGTATACTACAGTACTTTCCCTGTTAGAGGTATAGTTTTATTTCTTACTGAATAGCCCCCCAGCGAACTGATCGTAAGACACAGTTCCCAGTAGATCACTTATGTCGCGAGTGGGTGACCCCTTTGATTAGTCTGCGAAGAGATCGAGGGAGTGATATTGATCCTCGTTAAACTGTTCTACCGTATAAATAGCTCGACTTCGCATTCTACCAAAACGGGAGTCATTCCCTACGTAGACGATCAAAATTGTGATGTCATGTCTTTGGATCATACTTGCACCCTATTTACAAGAGGACAGAAGAAAAAATAGTGCGTGGAGTCCCTCCGCGCGGAAGAAGTGAAACTTCGTAATGTGGAAATGAAAATAGGAAGGGGTAGAAATTGATTTTTAGTGAAATCATATTGTTTCTTTAAGACAAACTTTATTGACATTGCTTACAATTCACAATGGATCGCATCTATTAATTATCATTTTCGAGTGGAGAAATATCCAAATCTGTAACATTTACAATGGGATTATGATAACTAAAGTAAGATACGAAATGTTTGAGTTCTATTTTTTCAATATTTCTTGCAAAAACTGCATCAATGGTAGTTCCCCCTTTGGTTGTTGGATCATTCCTACCATTTATCATTTCCAATCCAAATTTGCCTTTAAGGAAGGTTAATAATATTTCAGCTACAGGTAGCGAGAAATTCACATTAAAATCTCCTGCAAAGATCACAGGCCACCGCCAAAAAAAGTCGCCAGCGCAAATGAATATTTTAAGATAACCCAATGACTAATTCAAAAGAGGAATGCGTAATTTTACTAGGTTGCTCGCATTAGAAGTTTCACTTCAAAATGTGTTTGAAAGCAGTCTTTGAACGTTACTAGCCTGAAAAAAATGCTTCACACTATTTCTGATGTTAAGAGCACCACCTTGTAAGGAGTAGTGAAAAATAACCACATAATGCAAAGTGCCAATCATCTCGCGCCTGAATTCTGGCCTGACTCGAAGTTGCCTTCACCAGTCAATGTTTGCCTGAAAGCAGTCTAGGACAATCTTAATTGAAAAATCTGGTTTACGTTCGTCTGGTGACATCACGAGCATAATACCAGACCTCGTGTAAATGGGAAGTTAGGGATGTTTCCCAGACCGTAGCTCCAGTTGTGATGTAAATTGAATATACAGATTAAAATCAGTTTAATGCATCCCTCCGCAACGAACTTAATTTTAAAGTACCAAACATTAGCAGCTGCGTAGCTGTAGCGCACAAATTGAGAAACAAACAGAATTCATTTGGTTAAGTCATAAATCTTCAGTTTGAAAACAAGCTATGTATTTGATTTGATTTGACTGACCATGTGCATATTTATTGTGATTAAATAACTCATACATTGAATAAAAACTTTATTTAGTTCGAAATTAAAGCAAACACGTTTTCAGAATCAATAGATTAAATTTTTTTAAAAATTTTTAAAACTATTTTTTAAGTATATTAATGTTTGCTTTAACGTTAGCAAACACATTTTTTTTTAAATTTTTAAAACTATTTTTTAAGTATATTAATGTTTGCTTTAACCTTATCTATATTTCAGTTTTAGATTTGATGAGTTTAAAAAGTAAATTTCAAATGCGATAGTGACGTGTGGTAAGGAAATGTATGGTTTATTACTCAATTAAATTCATTTTTGTAGAGAGAAACTATTCCGAAAATTTTCCGATTTTCCGAAGGAAAATGATTTTTTTCACAAATACATCTAACACCATTTATGTGCCGTTGTGAAAAGCTTCTTTCCCGTAGAATTTTTAAAATTTGCATTAGCAGTAACAAAAATTTTGCAACTCGAAAAACGTTTCAATTTTTTTCACCGCCTATATATTTCTATATATTTTACTATTCTATATATTTTACTAAATTTGAATGTTGGAATGATTGTATTCATAACATGCTAAATAAGTTTAATAACTAAAAAATTTCAAATAAGAACTTTATTAATTACGGATTAATTACAAATTAATTATTAAGTACTTATTAATAATATATTAATTAAATAATAATTAAAAAATTAGGATATACACATTTACATAGTTAAGTCATTGTTATATTCGATCTAACAAATTGCAAGCTCAAAATTTTCATCTACGCTTAAGCATCGTAAAATAAGTATCCAGGCATTTACTTAATCACTTTACCCGGAATTTATTTTTATTCTAACCAGAATATACTTAGCTGTTTTTCTGAAAAACAAAATTATCTTTCCTTCAAATCACTCAATAAGGATACGTAATGTAATGTGAGAAATTATCGGACAAACATAAGAATTCCATTAACTAAACTCAGTGGCGCGACAGCCCATAGAGGGCCAGGGCCATACTGTGCCTATCTCAGTCTTCTTGACCTTGGGCTTTGGGGTGCAGGAGCAGATGTTCCGGTTAGGTGGTCAGCCGAACGCGGAACTCCCAGTGATTAGTTCCCAAGCATGCTTGGTGCTAATTTATCGACCCACTGAAGAGATGAAAGGCTGAGTCAACCTTGCCCGGCCCGAGGATCGAACCCAGGACTTGTGGCACGGGAGCGCGAAGCGCTACCACTCAGCCACCGGGATAAGAATTCTATAGGGCTCGTAAATTTAGAACTATATATAAATTGAACTTATAGCAGCTATAATTATATCTAAATATATACTAGCTATACTTTATTAACTTTCTTCGCAGGAATATAGCTTACTGCGGCCAATAATGATAAATATCTTCAAAGGTGATGATCTGTGCGAGACAGATGTGAAACTTGCCCTCCGATTCATGAAAGAGTTTTTGACATTTGAGGCGTCACATAGACTACCAGCTCGTAGAGCTTTGACTCACGAATTTTTTCACAAAGATATTGACAGCATTCACAATAACGTAGATGCCAAGCACACACCACTAACAAACAGCACTGCGTCTACTCTCCGCAGCGAGCATTTATCGGTAAATGAAGCTGTGATATTGGAAAATATTGATGCAGAAAAGACACAGACGCCCAAAATTCTTTCTGAAACTGATAGGAAGCAAGTGAATGATTCGAAAATGAGTGAGATTGGTATACATAAGTCTACGGATAGGCAAAGTATGCCAGGAACAGGACCGGAGATGATATCTTTGATATCGGATACTCTTCCCTTAAAGAGCATCAATTTGGAGAATGAGTGCGGTGTGAAACCGACAGAGATTGACGAATCAAACAAGGAACAAAGCGTGACAAGCATTGAAGATAATACAAGGACTGACATGGAGAAAAAGAATGACCTCATTTTGTTAAAAATTATTGAATTGAGAGAGGAAGTGAAATATCTCCGCATCAAATTGGAGAACATAGAAAAGAGTTTGGAGAATCTCATGAAGAGAAATTCAGTTGATAAAAACACAAAGTCAACTGGCAAATTGGAGAATAGGAGAAATGAGATAAACGGAGAATCTATGGTAGATAGACCTATTAACAGTGTGAGGAAAATCCCTGATGAAGTAGTGATTGTTCATAAAGGTGAGAACTCTTTAAACAAGTATCAACAAACACTTTTTCTTTCAACAATTTTGTTAAATCCTATACATACATTATTCAATTACTTAACAAGATTAAACAAACACTTTTCCTTCAACCAATATTGTTAACTTCTAAAAACGTAAAATTTATTTACTTTACGCTTTTCGAAGTTAACTTTACATTTTAAGTATAAACAATAATGAGCACACAAACGCTTAACTTCCAACGAAATTTCGCAGCAACTTTGATTTCTGTATAGGTTTCATTTTTGCTACAAATAAATTAATTGAAATATATTTTCTCCCTTATAAGATGTATATATTTTAAGGTTTAGATTAAAGTCTGGTAATCAAAGTAACGTGCTAAAGAGATAAATAACTTCATGCAAAACCATTTTATGCTTAAATACAATCTGTTCCATCTACATTAAGTGTAAATTTAAGATTGCGATAATGTTTAAGAGTTTATTCTATATCTACGCAGTTCATAAGGTGTCCCGTACTTTCTGCAATTCATGCATGCTAATACTAATGCATGCAATTTGAATGCATGCCAATACGGAATACAAAAAAGTCTACTCATTGGGGATAGCAAATATTAATTTCAGCGGGGCTGAAACAAAAACGCAATCGAAATCTAATAAATCCTTATTTAAAAAGTTGCACTCAAAACATCAAAAAAAGATCCATTGAAACTGCGAGGTGTTTCCAATAATCATTTTTATTCACAATTTCCTTAGTAATCAATGCGTGTACTTGTTAGGCTTTATTTTTTGATAAGTATAATAAAAACATTATATAAAAGCTGTCATGACAAAACGTTTTGTGTTTGTCATAATTATATAAATGTCTACATAGAGTCGCTCCGGCTCAGGAGATAGAGCGCTAAACACCCGATAGTGTGACCCAGGTTCGAATCTCAGCGTTGAATGGTTGATACTAATTCTGCTCGGTCTCGCACCGAGCAAAGTGCTGACGTGAAATATCCTCAATGGTAGATGGATCATGATGGGTTATTGTCTCCCTGTCATCAGGCTAACTGTGAGAATTTTTCGTGGTTTTCTTCTCCATATAACGGTAAATTTCATCGAATAGTCTTCAACGTGGCTAATTTGTCCCAATGTTTCATTCAAGAGTTCCCTGAGTTGAGCTTAAAAATACAAGACTACATAATTGAACATTGATAGTCGTAAACTCAAAATTGGGTCGGCTGTTCAACGACAGTTAAGAACTAAAAATAAAATATCAATATAATTACTGATTAAGAGTATTTTTGACAGTATGCGTTAGACTTTTCCTTTTCTAACATAGAGCATACCAAAGTTAAAAAAGAAAAGAAGAAAGGACGTGCTTTGAATTGGATGAGAACTGCTTGTAGAAGAGTATTTGGTTTATTCAAGAAGAGAGGATCAAACTAACTACAAGTAAGTTCTTTATTTTAAATTTTTTTTAAAAAATAATACCTTAAGTTGAAAATTACGATACTAACATGTGGTACTTAAAAATTATTGTACTAGGCTCAGAATATCACTTAAATGCCTAAAATGGGGTCATAGATATAACCCTAGACTATGAATCGCAATAACTGATTAAACTAATTGAAAGATAAGTCGCTAGTACAATTTCCCTGATTAAACTAATTAAAAGATAAGTCGCTAGTACAATTTCCCTGATTAAATTAATTAAAAGATAAGTCACTAGTACAATTTACCTGATTAAATTAATTAAAAGATAAGTCACTAGTACAGTTTCCCTGATTAAACTAATTAAAAGATAAGTCACTAGTACAATTTCCCCCCTCATCGGAAACCCTCCAACACGCCATCGGTGCTGCAGATTATTTTAGAATCTGCAGATTTTTCATCCGAGTTTCTTTTTTTAATTTAAAAAAAAAACGAACAAAAAAGCAAAACATTGCTGGTACAGCTTTTTAAAATATCTATAAACTTGTCTTAAAAAAAAAATTAAAAAGCTGAATGTCGAGCACACCACAAAAAACAAAAAGTAAAGATTTTTTCACTTTTGCTTGAATACAGATTTAACTATATACGAATTTATTCCAATTTCTTAGGATCAATATATAAAATACAACTTAAATTTAAAGAATGTAAAGTTGTTAAATATATGGATATTATATTTACTAATTTTGCCACATGTATGTTAGATTAAGCTGAATATTTACTATAAAAATATCTGTCTGACTGCAACGAGACAGCAGACAAACTTGGATTCATGAATATACACTGGTGGACAAAATTAAGAGATGGAAGACATTTTCCCAAATATCTCAAAAAATACTGAATATAAATAAATGAAATTTGGTATGGATATAGCTTATTCCATGATAATAAAGTATGCAAAACAAAAATGAAAGTGCCATTCACTGGCAAGACCTATTGCCAATAAATCCAATGTAGTCTGAACTTAAGGATAAAAGATGACAATAAAAGTGAGGCTTGTACAGTGTGTGTTGCCTCTAGTATGGTGTATGGTCACCCCTGACAGACAGACAGCATGCACAACGAGTATGCATGCTGTTAATAAGGGAGTTAAGGAGGACTTGTGGAAGACCCTCCCATTCTTCCACCAGAGCAATTTTTAACTCCAGAATGGTTCTGGGGGGAGGTTGGCGCATCGCAATAGCTCTCCCAAGAGCATCCCAAGCATGTTCAATAGAATTCAGGTCAGGGGATTTGGCTGGCCAATCCATTCGTTGAATATCCTCGCTTTCCAGATACTCATCAACCATGAGAGCCCTATGTGGTCGCGCATTGTCCTCCATAAAAATGAACTCAGGGCCATCAGCGTCCCTGAAAAAATGCGCATAGGGCTCTAGGTTCTCCTACCTGTACCTCTGGGCATTAACGGATCAATTGTCAAACACATAGGAGCGGTGTGCGGGTATCTTGCATGATCCCTGCCCAAGCCATGAGTCCTCCACCAGCATAATGGTCCCTTTCGATAATGTTCCTGGGATGGTATCGGGTTCCAGGTTCCCTCCATATCAATAACCGTCCAGAAATAGCGTCATAGAAATGTGCGTCATAGAAGAATATAGCATCATAGAAATATGCGAAAATGCTTTCCATCTCTTAATTTTGTCCACCAGTGTAGATTCACTACCTACACTGGGATGACAATGGACATTGATATAAAGGGCAAAACATTATAACGAACATTAAAATTAGCTCAAAAGCATGAATAGTTGCAGAAACAGTGACATTTTGTGTCTAATTCTTGTAAAAAGCAAATGTATTTAGCTGGGTATTAGAATGGGATTTTACATACTAATAATAACCTCTTCACGTCAAATAAAATTAATTCAAATAGATCCCACGACTAAATGTAACTTGTGAAAAGCTGGAACTTGTTTTAATTGCTTTGTTTTATTTCTAAATGAAAATATAAAAATTTGCCCTCTGAGTCAGTACTGCAAATACTGGCTTGCACCAGAACGTATGGGATTGTTTAAAGAGTGAGTAAGATATGCTGAGTTTACAAAATTGTTGTTTCCATTTTTGTTTCCTAATAACACGTCAAATCATTTCTTAAATATTTCTCATGATTTAACGAAGATATTTTTTAATGCGTCCTGGTGTAGTTCCATTGAACGGATGACTTGACTTGATGTCAGAAGTCCTAATCTGTAAACTTAAATAAGATACGAAAGGTAAATAAATTATGCTTTGAAAAGTCCTTTTAGTAATTTTGTTTTATTTAATATAAAACGTGCATTTCAATAAGATACAAAAATGATATAGCTTTTCACAATTTTTTATGAATAAACTCCTTTTATTTAACAAATTTTAGATACTATCGCATCGCTGATTTCAAGTCTAAAATTGGTTTCATCTGCATGCTACAGTTTTTATGCGATTTAATAATTTTTTTTTTAACCAGGATCTTTTTTTATTGATTTGAGGGAAAACTAAATGTCCCCACATCTCTGCTACATAAACAATGGCAGGAAGAAGACGATAATACATTTCAGTTTATGATTCGATGCGTCTAAGTCATATGTCTTTAAGTGTTATTTTCAAATTAGCAGACACGTATATCTGAATGTATATAAACCTATATGTTCCTGATTAAAAAATGCCGACAAAAAAATGAATGAAATCTGAAATATCATTTTGAAAAAGAAAAAAATATATTGTTTTTCCGAATTTGAGATTTGAAATCCACACACCCATATTAGGTGAGATCAAGTTTTGTACAAATTCAACAAAAAATTTATTCCCCAGCGTAATAAAAGAACTGAAAAGTTTATTTTTGTCAGAAGAATCACCATTCAATCTAAAATCTCGTTTTCCTCCTGTATTAAAATTTGTTGTATGCATTTTTTGTTATTATCATTAAAACATAAAATGCTTTTCTTCCAGATTATACTATTGACAGACTATCGTTTTGCATGACGGACAGTTTATGGTCATAGCAAAAAGCTACTTAAAAGTGAAAATTGACATTGGAAAAATAATAAAATGGAGATGACTATTGAAAAGTTTTTTTACGGACATGACATTTGGAAATCATTAAATGGTGACGACTGAAAAGTTTTATTTTACTCATGTATGACGGACTATTATTTTGCATGACTGACTATTGTTTTGCATAACGAACTATTGCTTTGCAGAACGGACTTTTGTTTTGCATAGCGGACATTTTATCGTCATTGCAAAAAGCGACTTAGAATTGAAATTTGTCATTGGAAAAATAATTAAATGGAAATGACTCTTGAAAAGCTCTTTTTACGAACTTAAATCTGGAATTTACATTCGGAAATTATTAAATGGTGACGACTGAAAAATTTTCCTTTCACTCATGTACGACCGACTATTATTTTGCATGACTGACTATTGTTTTGCATAACGGACTATTGTTTTGCAGAACGGACTTTTGTTTCGCAGAACGGACTTTTGTTTTGCATAACAGACAATTTATAGTCAGTGCAAAAAGCGACTTAAAAGTGAAAATTGATTTTTGGAAAAGTAATATAAAATGGTGATGACTGAGAAGATTTCCTTTTACTCATGTACGACCGACTATTGTTTTGCATGACGGACCAACGTTTTGCATTACGAACTATTGTTTTGCATAACGGACAAGTGTTTTGCATTACGGACTATTGTTTTGCACAACGGACTATTGTTTTGAAAGACGAACTATTTTTTCACAGGACAGACTATTGTTCTGCTTGACGGACAATTTATAGTCATAGCAAGAAGCGACTTTAACGTAAAAATTTACATAGGACGAGTAATAAAATGGTAATAACTCTGAAAAGTTTTCATTTTACATATGCACGACGGACTAATGTTTTGCATGTTGGACAAGTTGAATCAAACCAGAAAGTTAATCCAATTTTCTTTCTTAAGTTATATTTATTGCTATATTGTTATTCTTCATTGTCTAAAACTGTTATTTGGTAAATGTTTCAAAATTTATTTATTTTCCTTCTAAGGAAATAAAGAATTATTTTCAAAATACCTTTCTGTCGTTAATTCATTAAAATACACGCAATTGCAAACATTTTATTTAAACCCTGACCGTAGACATCGAGAAATAAGGCTATTGAGATAGCCAAGGTCTTTTAGTGACGTCACAAACAAACATCTTGGAGCACCCGCCATCGAAATTCTCCATGGCCATCGGGCTCCAGAACTTGCAAATCTTGTTATCCAAGACTTTTGGAGGACTCTAATCTTTGCACTAGCATAGACACGACATCAACAACAAACAAACATCTTTAATTAGGCGCCAATTTGAAATATTTGTCATTAAATTATAGCTTCGTTTGTACGCCGATTATACCATTTATATCGATTATTATAGACATTTTATGCACGCCTTATATATGTGCAATACCGAGATGCAAACATAATTATAAAAATGGGCTTAAGATTTAGTTTACAAACGCCTCCAAAATGTGGAATTTGAAGAAAAATGGATGCATTCAATAAAATACAACATTTATAGAGTAGTAGTTTATACGTGGTTGCCACGGGCGACTAAAAAGAAAAAAAAGTGGTGACTAATAAAATTCCAAAATTTTATTATAATAGATTAAAATTAACAACTTTTTACAGGATATTTTTTTCAGTTTACTATTGAAGGTGACTATCGGAAACTGTGGAAACTAGAACATTGTACAAGCGAATACCTAGCCAACGAGGCCACCTCAGTAAAAGCGATAATTGCTAACTCAAAGGGTGAATTAAATTAAAGTTGGTCGTTAATTAAAAAGAAATTTGAAGTAAAAAGAAGGAAAGGACAACACAAACATAAAAAAAAGCCTACATGGGATTAGTATAGGTTAAATTACAAAAATATATATATTTTTCAATGATAAGTAAATTAAGTAATAACTAGAACGGTATTTTTATAAATATTAATATAATTTGAAATGTGGTACTTACGA